ATTTTTTTTTTTTTTTTTTTTTTTTTTTTTTTTTTTTTTTTTAAACACAGTAATATAGGTACCTTGTCAAAATCTTTCTGCAGAAGCCAACACTTTGCAACTCCCAGGTAGACGTGTGCTTGTCCAAGACGATTTCCAATCTCCGTCATGATACCCAGTGCGGACTCGTAGCGAGGGAATGCTTTCTGGATGAAAGAAGAGAAATGTAAATAAACCTGACAACATACAGTGGACCGGATAAAATATCAGACTTTACAAAAGTTTACACAGCTTATACAAAACATCACCCTCAACAACTCATTTTGAAAGACCTGAACACATTTGCACAAATGGTGGCATCTTACATCAACGTCACGCCTGCAGCGGTGTATGTCTGCAAAGTTTAGTAAGCACAGAGCCTGCAGAGGTCGGTCACCGTGCTGCAGAGCAATCTTCATAGAATCCTGTTGAAGCAGGACAGAGATGTTTTAACAACATGTAAAAAAAAAAAAACAAAAAAAAAAAACTATTCTTGTGACACCAATATACTGCTAATATGATTTAGAGTTAGATCTATTATTACACTTACATTTTCTTCATGTATTCAATTTAGTATAAAACACTAACCCTCATGCTAATTAAAGCAGAGATTCTTCAGAGTGCATATTTAATTCAGTAATTTGTATTTGGCAGTTTCACAGCATTTTCAAATGAGCAACAGTGAGAAGTGATGGGGAATCTAAGATGTTTCACCTCTTGTACTCTGAATATGACAAGATGTGTAAACTGACAAATCGATCTGTAATACATCTTGCTGTCTTGTTACTGTACTTCTACATTCCAAAATAATTAGTTATTGTGCACCTTTGGTACGTAATTAGAACAGTGTGAAGACGAAACCTACCCTCTTCGTTAACACTTTAAACCAGCGATTGTGTGAGCATATTTTTCTTGAAGTCTAAGGCCCTGTACAACAGAACAACTGGCACTTGCACCTGTCAGCAGCACAACATCTACTGTATCTGCAGCTTTGACAACAGCCACAGGGGATGGTGAATCATTGGGGAAACCAAAACTGTGACATTCTCCTCAAGTTATGGAAGGTGGTCTCTGAGGACATGGGCTGGATGGTTCTAAGACAATACCTCACAGCACTCCATGGCGTCTGGCAGGCGCTCCAGTTTCCTGTAGGCTACAGACATGTGGTACTGGCTCATGGCTCGGTACTTGAGGCTCCAGCTCTTGCCGTAGTCATTTACAAGCTCAGCTGATTTACAGGGGAAGAACAAGGCTTTCTCATAGTCCTGTTGGCAGACATGAACAATGAATAAGACATCTGATGTCCAGTTATTGCCCCCACATGGTATTATTTCCCATTTAGATACTACTGACATGGACTTTTTGGTTTGTAATTCCTTTCAACCTTTGACAGTGTTCAGAAAGAGGATCTACTCAAACCGTGAGCATGTGTTGGCCAGTACTTCCCAGCATTGCTAAAAAAAAGCCTTTTATATTTTTTGTTTCATTAAAAAAAAATGTGTGCGCATTCTTCGAATGCCACCTCATCACAATCCCCTTGAAACCAATCCTCCCTGCCAAGGCTGGGGATTACTCTTATAATTCTCTAATGTCGAGAGTACTACCTAAGAACCCAGTCAGCCAGCTTACTCACTCTGCCCTGGTTTTACAATGCCCAGTAGCACACCTGCTAACCATTGATGATGTTTGCTTGGATGCTGTGCGGTGTTATCATACTCTGCAGCCATACTGGCAACATCATACTGACTGCACAATCAAGTCATGCATGTAATCCAGTGAGTGCTTTACCCAGATAACATAGCTGAGGACCATATTTTATTCTTGTCTAACATGTCTCATACAAAAACAATTGAGCTGATGCTGAGCAAAGATTATTTGCAGTACAGGACATATGAATCATCAAAATCTGCTCTCACATATGAATAAAACCAGTACATTGAGCACCTTAAGCTGGACATAGATGTTTCCCAGACTGCAGCACACTCTGCACTCCAGCATCTTGTCGTCGTTGTTGTGTGCATAGCGCAGGGCCTTCTCGTAACTCTCCAAAGCTTTCTGGAACACGCTGAGGCCCAGGAAGGCATTGCCCATGCTGAGACACACCTGGCCGTTGAGCTGGAGGCTGACTGTGGTGCCTTGCATATTTAAACAGGTCTTACAGTAGGAAACAGTTTTCTGGAAGTCGCACAGTTTCTCGTTGCTACGTGCCAGGTTCAGGTAGCCCTCGGTCAGGTAGTCTGGATCCTCCATTTCTCTGGCTGTGTCAATTTGATCGAGGGCGTACTGCAGAGAAAGAGTGAGGGTTAGGTTATGGTAAACCTGCACACAAATTATAAACAATCACACTGATAGTTTTAAATTCAAATAGACCATGAACATGACCTTGCTAAAGTAAGGGGGAGAGAGAGCGGGCGCTGCTTGAGGAAAGATGATTATGTCAACAAGACACCCCACACCGATACTCAAGTTGCAAAGCACTTATTTACTCTGCATCTTGTAGAAGCCACAAATTAACCCATGCTTCTCAAGATCACTGTAGATGGAACCAAGGTAGTAACCTTTGACCTCTTCCTGTTCAGGACTGTGGAAACATTAAAATGCTACTACAGGGTGCTCTGGCGCTGTCCCGAGCAAACGTGGTTACATAAAACTGATGCAATATTGTGGCACACACTCATTTGGACTAGAATCTGTCTCTCTCTCTCTCACACACACACCCTGCTGCTGATTACATAACAGAAGATATACTGCTCAAAAAAATAAAGGGAACACAACATAAGACATCCTAGATCTGAATGAATGAAATATTCTTATTAAATACCTTGTTCATTACATAGTTGAATGTCTTATTTTCCCTTGTGTTCCCTTTATTTTTTTGCAGTGTATAATCCTACACTCCACCTAAAATGTGAGAAATGTCTTGACATGAATGATCTAAACCAAGTTACCAAAAAGCTACTTACAATACTAAGTTTTTACTGTTTACACAAGTAAAAATTAACATTGCTTAATTAACACTTTAAAGAAATTCTAGAGTATATTCATTATACACTGATTATATATTTGGTTAAATAAATTGCACTGTGTCATTGTATGTATTGATTCAGGGGCTTACCTTGAGCATATCTTTATATTTTCCCATCTCTGACTGAGCTGTGATCAGACACCCCAGCACTCGAAACTTCCCTCCAGGATCTGAGGTCTTCTCCAGCACTTTTGTCCACACGTGCAGTGCTTTGTCCGTCTGATTGGACTGATACAACCTCAGGCCCTTCTCTATCTGCTGCTTGGTTTGGTCCTGGCCCATCTCTGGTGCAAGGAGCCTCATAAAAATATTCATTCGTTTAGGCCATGCAACTTAAGTGAGGCAGCAAGAAAGTAGATCCTGGCCATGAACAGTAGAACTCCAAAGAAGATCCGCTGAAGATGATCCTCTGAGAGGTCGGTGCCAGAAGGCCTACCAGATCCCACTCTCTCAGCCCCGGCTGTGCTGAGATGGAAAGGAAACTGGATCCACCAAAGTAAAACAGCGACACACCAAAACCATTATTGCCACTCACTTTGCGGAGAACGGTAGGGCCAAAACAATATCTTCCCAGTTTAACCCTGCAACGATCCCCTCTCACCATCAAGTGTTTTACTCAATTTCTGTTTGAAAAACGCCAAAGAAACACGTTTCCTGGTGGAGCGCTAGCAGTGATATCCCAGAATATCTACACCCTCCACACCCCAGCGAAAGGAATTCTCAGCACCCCTGTGTCCGATCCCCTCCGCCTTCCTCCTACTGCTGGCGCTACAGCAGATGGTCTTGTCACTCTAGACCATGTGTCCCTTCAGGAATTCTGTCCTGCCCTCAGCAAGCCGTCCCAAGGTCACTACAGCTCCTTCGCAATCTGCCTTCACACTAAACCTCACTCACTGGCCAAACGCTGGACTACAAGTCTTTGCATCACAGACCGGTGGAGCCTTAAAAACACACTTCTATGAATGGATCCAATCAGGCTCTCCCGTGTAGGACTAGGAACTGTGATATGGGGGTTATAAACAGCTTTACTTCCTAACTTTAAGGGACAGCATGTCAGATGGTGCCCATAGTGGCTGGCAGTTCTTAGTTCTTTGGAGGCACACATGTACCCCCAGACACCCCCAATCCCTCATCTCGGTGTCAGCTACTGATGCCTAGAATAGTTCACAAAGTCTGACATGTTACCGGGCTTGGGTTTCAGTCACACAGCCTCCTGCAACACATCAATGAGATCAAAGTTCTGGCCTCTCTGTAGCAGTTTTCTCTCTTTCAAGCCCCCCACTCCCTGTCAAAGGACATAAACAGGCACCTTTACTACCTCGCCATTCACAACATGCATTACCAATCCAAGATAAATATGGTGAGATATCTTTGCTGAAGCAAAGTTTTCAATAGCTACACAGACAGTGTAGGATTTCTAATTAAGTCTAAATACCTGGTAATAAAAACATAGTATTAATACTTAGTTAATGCTAAAAGACCATAAATATCAAAACACAGTGACAGCTTGTAGCTACAGTGATATATTTGACATATTTTTACATATTAACATGAACATGTGCACTGTACATCTAAAAATACAACTGGGAAAAATTTAAACATTAGAAAACATCCCCTGTAATTATGTTTATGAACACTAACTTAAAATATAACATCTGAGAATATTCAGCCTACAACATCATGATATGATATACTGAAGGATGTTTCATGTTCAGCAAAAGTCTTTACACTGAAGTTGTTCATGTGTGTCAAACATCAAGCAGTGCACAGGAAACAATGCTGATTAGTTCATCACTGGTTACAGCATCACCACATATTGTTTGACTTCTCAGCTAAGGGATCCACATGAGACACACCGTTATACAAGCAAAGTGATGCACACCACTCAACAGTTTTTACTGGTGGGGTGCTGGAGTTTGCATGAAATGAGTAACACAGAAACCAGCTGAATAAATACTTTAAGACCAGGTCTCCTCCCGGAATGTCTGAACAGTGGAGTCAAGCTAAGTTATCCAACAGTCTTGCCTGATTCTCTGCAGTTAGTGTGTGGGCCAGAAGACAGTTTAAGCCAAAACAAACTGCCAGTTTGTGAGAAGGATTTTTATGCCTCTGATAACGGAAACAACGGATGTAGCCGGGTTAAACTTTAACGTGTTTGCATCGCCTTTTTTACACTTGTCCCTGAAGACGTAAATGCAGCCGTTACAGCTGGCCACCTTCCACAGTGAAGGAATGCAGCTCCAGACCTCAGGGAAGCGCAGGCGGGTGAAGCTCTCCAGCAGAGGGTTGTAGCACACCAGGGAGTCTCCTTCTGCTACAATAAAGATCACATCCATGTGGACAGCTGCATGCATGCAGCCCGCAAAGGGCAACATGTAAGGTTTGATCTGGCACTTCTGAGTGGAGGTGTCAAAGCACTGAATGAGACGGGATGGCTTAGTAAAAAAGTCCATGTCATTCTCCTCTCCTCCAAGCAGGTAGATGGTACCTCCCAGGTTAACTCCAGCAGCCCCTGATACGGCAGTGTCCAGCTGGCTGGTCTCTGTCCACATGTTGTCCTTCACTGTGTAGTAGATGACAGCATTAGAGAGTGTGTCCTGCAGCGTCTTCCCTCCTAGTGAGTAGATCGCGTCTTCACTGGAGACTGAGACCATGGTGTGGTGGAGGCGATCTCGAGGCAGTGGGGCGCAGCGCTCCCAGTCCATGGTGTGCATGTTACACTTCCACATGCGGCGGGGAATAGAGCCCCCCACCACATACAGGTCAGCACCATGTTTACATGCTGCAGTGATCTGATGGCATAAACTGTTCTGGCCACTTATACTGATCGCATCATCCTCATCACAGTGAAGCGACACAGCCAGGGAGTGGGTCCTCGTCTCTTCTTTCCCAATCAAGTAAATGTGGACATTCTCACCGATTTCCTGTGGACATTGAAGATGGAGATATTATCATTCGTTCTTTCATTTCAATGGACAAAAGGTGAGCACCCTTTTCAAAAATACTTTACAGCTCTAGATGAAAATGTTTAGGGAGAGCATACACCTCTCAAAAAACCTTGACCTCAGGTGTGCAGGCCAGCTAACACCACTAGTAATAAAGGAATTAAAGCCCACACACCGAGTAAATGTTCCCACAAAAATCCTTTTATTCAGGCTAAGTCACAATGACATTTCAACATTACATCATCATCACGTATGTTCAACTTGTAATCAGGTGTGACGTTAAATTGGCTCCAAGTGTGAAACCCCTCCTGGACCTATAAGCACAAACAATAATGATCCCCTCTATCATATTCAAATATATCACGTTAACTATATTATGAAAAAACTGCAAACATATATATCATACACTTAGACAAAACCCAGTAGTATAAATCCTACTAGGCTATAAATAGCTCTCCTAATTGGTCAAACACTTAATGCAGTCAACAATTAGAAATTACAAAAAATCTTAAGAGCTCATTTCAACTTCTGCATCCCCTAATATATAATCAAACAGTACAAACTACTACAGTACCTGATGCAGAGGTCAAAACGTCGTCGTGACTTGGCCTGAATAAAATGATTTTTGTCGGAGCATTTATTCAGTGTGTGGGCTTTAATTCCTTTTTTTTTATAGTTCTAGATGGAAAAAATGTTACCTTGAGATTTTCTTGGAGGATACAAGAAAACTCTTCCCTCTCCACCTTGTTGTGGTTTATCCATGAGTCAATTGCCACTTTTGGATTCTGGGAGCTTGGAACGCCATCTGAAAACCAATACAAGGCCTTTTGAATGCATTTCATAAAATGTACTTTCATTGTTAAAGTAACAATGTTTTTGCATGGTTAACACTGGTCTGATATTATACAAACTTAAAAAATGGCAGACCATTTTATATGCACTTAAACCTTCCAGGGAGCCAACTGTTTTCAGATAATTTGTACAATATGAAATTTGAAAAACAGAAAAAAGAAGGGTGTGCTTAAGAAAGAGGATAACAGTAATGTTTCTAGCATGTAGTAGGCTAAATGGTCTTAAATATGGACAAATTGACCGATTGGGCACATGGTGACAGAACAGTCAACAGTAATACCTTTGATAATGTCCAGGAGGAGACAAAGAGGCAGATTGAGAAATTCTTCAGTCTGATGCAGCTGGGCCAGGTGATTTTTAGCACAATGTTTGGCAGCAGTATACAGTTCTTGGTCACTGTGTCTGTCTGCAAGCCACATCACCTGGACAAAACATAGGTCATCATAAAACTGCTCCTACATAATAACTATTAAGTAGCAGTGATTGCTAGATCTGTGAAAAACTGTGAATCACCTGCAGGCAGTTCTTGACCTCCACTGTTCGTGAGAGGAAGCGGGAGCATTCCTCGAACAGAGCAGTGAGCTGGTACATGTCTGCCATCTCATAGGTGTCCTGCAGCTCTTCCACCCTCAGTTTAATCATGCCATGATAGATGTAGTCAATCAGCAGCTGAAAGACAGTGGCACTGACATCCTTCAGTTCAATAGTACGGTTGTGGGACTCTTTTAGGTTGGAGGTGAACATGGAGCGGAAGAAACTGCTCTGTGCTGAGAGCACCAGCCGATGCAGGTGAAACTCTTTGCTGTCCACGGTGATGGTGACATCAGCAAACAGGCCGTCCTCCAGACACAGGTCCATGATGCTCTTCACCACTCTGCTCGAGTGGGAGCGGTCAGTGAAGGTGTATCCCAAGAAGTAGTTCTCCTCTCCCATAGAGCCCCCAACACTGAGGCCCCCCTCCTCATTGGACTCCATCTTTGTCCTTGCCTGACAAAGTCAGCAAACAGTATGGGAAGCATTTACACTCAGTTGCCAGTTTATTAGGTACATCTAGCCTAAAGTAATGCAGTCCTGCTATAAATCCTACCTTCATTGAGGTTATCCTCAGTTGTTATGAGATGTTGGGGTATTTAATAAACTGGTGATATGGCAGACAAAAGTTATTTAATAGAAATAAGATAAGCATTTTTAAGAACCACAATATGTAATGAACAAGATATTTTACAATTGAAAAACAAACTTTCAGTCGTCTTTAGAGCGTAAATAAACTATGCAATGATGTCCCTGTTTCTAAAATCCACCAACCAAATTTTGGCATTTTTGCATTTGTTAGTTGGCTAGCCAGACGGTTTTTAAAAAATACATTTAGTGCTTTAACTATAATATGAAAAACACAGATGAAGCTGCTCAAAAGCTTAACCTTATAGTACTACACTTTTTCATAGGTAAGAATGTCTGTTCACAAGAATTGTGTAGTGAAATGTTTCTGAATATCTCTGCACGTTTTGAGAGGACTTTTGTCCTCTTGACGTCTAACAAAACAGACAACAAATAAACTACAGTCTAACGTTATGTAAATGATCATAACTGACTGCATATGCTGCGCTAACGGTAGTAGATATTTAGCTAGCTAGCTAACGTTAAGCTATTTCTCGTCTGAAAATTAAATTGCGATGTCGTGGAGGTAAAATGTTACTAGGATTATTAAAGAGAAAAAAAGTCGTAAGCTTTAAAAATTAATAGTAAACAAGTGTGGTTACCTTTATCTCCACTACGTTATCATTCAGATACAGCAATGCAGCTGAACTCTTCACCGGAAGTAAATAAACATTTCATTGGTTAACTTTGAAATGACTCACTGGTATAACATGCCTTTACTGCACCCACGTGGTCAACTTGTGTTACTACATTTGGCAATTTAGAAATAGTTTTCTTCTTCTGTTTTTATTTTTCCCTTCTCTTGTTTTAATATTCAGTGAAACAAGCATTACAACAACTCAATAATGTAGAGCAACAGTAATAAAAAAACATAAGAGCCAGGTAACAGCAAAAATATAAAATTATATGCAAAGGTTTGAGCACTGCTTGGCAAATGACATATTTGTTTTGTTTTTTTTTTTGTAAAAAAGTAAATACAACCCCTGCAGAAAAAAGACATTAAAATGAACATTTTTTCCAATTGTAATGGATCATTACTTTTTATTTCCATAACATAAAAATATAATGTAATTGTTGCATATGCTACATTTTGGGCACCCTCGTGAAACACAACTTCATTAACATTTTAGATTTATATGAATTTTTCACAATACAAGGTGGAAAAGACTGTTTGCCACTGTGAACTTCATGTCCTGCTATCTCAAAGGTTTGCGTGCTGTGGATAAGTGGAAGCAGTATTGCAAAATATTGCTGTCTGCTCTGCCAGCCAGCTGGCTTTTGGTCCTTTTTTCCAAGGCGGAAATATGCATGGTGTTCAGTCTGAGTTGTCTCTGTCTTGATTCACAAGAGTGGATGAGATAGAGTGGATGTGAAAAGCATGCGTATTATTGTATCTGTTGGTAATAATCAAGAGAAGAATGGCCATGAAAATTCATCTTAAAATCTGCCTCCAAGTCCTTTTGTTCCTTTGGCTTGAACAAAAGCTGCAAGGTGAGTAGAAATGGCAGGTCTTCTAAAAGGGCTGTAATAAGGACAGAAATTTGTAATATTGTTACATAATGTTACTGCATGCATTGTACAATATGCATTAATATAGCTAACAGGTGTTTACTTTGGAAGCACTGGCAGTTTATTTGCAGTGATTATTTACATTTATGTCACAGTAAAACCAGTATTTTCTTCAAATGTGGCTGCAGGCACAAGTCCAACTGACTCGTCAGTCTCTGATGCAAACCTGATGTTTGAGGTACTTTCTGCATTTTGCAGTTAACACAAGTCCAAATATAGAGAAATTAAGTGTTTTACTTACAGAATAAGCGATGGGTATTTCTTTTTATCTCCTGTATGCAGATTTTGCTGGGAGGGGTAGAGATTGATGAGGACAACAACGTTGTCCTGCTTGACAAGGAGCTGGCATCGCTGAGGTCGGGACGGGCATCGAGTCTGAGCTCCATGGTGCAGATGGTGACTACACTAGAGGGTCAGAAGAAGAGGATGTTGGCTGAGGAGCAGTTTGACAACCTTGTATTGAGCATGTTGTATTCAGCCCACCAGGCCAGGCGTCAGGAGGTAAAAGAGGAACGGGAGGCCTGGGGCGGCGTGCTCCTCCAGATGGCAAATATTACAGTTTATGGACTACGTGGAAGTTACCTCTTCAGTTATGCTTAACACACAGAACGCCAGACTCTATGAAATGAGGGAGTAGGTTAAAAAACATAAATCGCTTACAATAAAACTCCTGTATGTGTATTCATTGCATATTCTGTATGTGGCCAATTTGTTAAAGGCGGAATCAGTTACTGTAGTTACAAAATGCTTTATTGTCATACAGTGGAAAAACATCTGTAAGAACATACAGTACAAAAGTTCCAGTTGTAAACTGGCTTATAAAAGAAGAAACTTTTTAAAACTTTTGAACAATCCCGGAAACTAGAGGCACAACAAACCATATAGAAAGAAATATATACATGGATTTTTAAAACCCTGACTATTTTACAGTTCACTTCTTTCTCATTTGTGCTTGTTTTTGTTTTGTACACCCAGTCTTGGCCTTGGGTTTGGTCTCAGGTTCTTCCAGAGAAGCCAGTTTCTTCTTGAGTTTTGAATCTACAGCAGGACCTCTCCTGTCCCTGGTGAAGCGCTGTTGGCGCCTCCTCTGCCCTCTTAAACTCTCCCCTGAGGTTGAGGTTTCCCCCGTGTGCCGACCACTCATCAATGACTCGCTCTTGTCCCAGACTAGCGCTGTTGCACCTGTGAGTGAATGTGTCGAAGCTTTACACAGGCAATTTTCACCTTGTCCTCACAGAACTGATTTAAATCACATAACACATCTGTCAGAGGTCTGATTAAAGAGCTCACCCATGACAGAGCCAATCACATCACCCGCTGGACTGAACTTGTTGATCTGTAAATACAGAATTACAGATGTTAAAAACCACAGTTTTAGTGTGTTTAAGTTTTTCCTGGTTATTGTAGACACACTCACAGATTTGATTCCTGGGGCATTAGAATCATACAGCTGGCACACGAGCTCTGCTGTGTTAGAATCAAAGATGTCAATGGTCCTCCTATCACCGGGACAGACACGGTCATCAGGGTAGCGGCCAGCGACAATCAGGTCATACACCGGGTGCCATGTGGCCTACACAACAATAATGACAGTATTATATCCTACCGCATTGACCAAGCACCCCCACCACCAATGTCTGTGTCCTCGTATACCACCTGGTCTATAATTATCTTCTTTATGACATCAATATTACGCCTCCAACATATTTTTGTACTCCTCTGGATACTGATGGCGCAGCTGCCTATCCATTTGGCTGTTCCCCTCATGCCGTGTTTAGCTTACAATTAGACTTTTGTCAGCATCTCTGTATGCTCTTAAACTTGTTCTGAATGCCAATAAACTGAAGTGATTTAGTCAAAAGAACATGTAACATCTTTCTGCAACTCTTATACTGAAACAGCAGGTTTTCTGGCTTATAAAAAGGCACATTTGGTTAGATGGCTGTAAACAGGTGATTTTTCTCATAATAAAGCATGTTTTTCTTCAAGCGACAATCCTCTCTCTGCTTGAACATGGAAATATCCTGTATTCATTAAAAATAAACTTTATGAAGTCTGCATTTGCACTTGGACGTTTGTTTTCTCTCCAACAGGATGCATGAATCTACAGGAGGACTCATACGCATCTGAGACAAACCTTGATGGGAGTGAGATGCTGAAACTGTCTGTGTGGATGTTGGATGATATGTTGAGGCTTCGACCAATCAGAGGACGAGTAGACGCGGATCTGGTCATACTGGTCTGTGGTGAGCAACTTGGAGCAGTCCAAGGGGTTAAAATAGGCTGCGAGCAGACGACAGCGACAGCTTCATCTAAGATGATCTGTTTACCTGTGGTCATAGCAACTGCAGTGCAAACTATAGCCATTGAAACTCTTGATTAATTCACTTGCTTAAAGTGATAGCCAAGAGTCTTCATCATGTATATTAAGAAACCTGAATAGACCAAATTGAACAAAAAAGAAATTTCTCACATCTTATACCAACAATGATGCTTTAACCACTATATTTATTCTTCTATATTTATGTAAAATGCAAATGTTGGACTATCATAGGTCTCTTCAAAAGTCAGGACAAGTTAATATATCATGTACTTTTATATCATTTATACTTCACAAATGTCAAACTGAAACCTGCAGGCATTTCTGAAAAATACTGTATGTACCAAAGAGTGAAAGACAAAACTTGAATTTTATTTAAAGCTACAGTATGTAACTTAAGGTAGCATAACATGAAACTCTAAGTCAGTCTACTCTACTCCACCCAGCGCTCCCTCTCCCTGCTCCACTACGATCTGCTATGCTCTGCCACGATCTACCCAGCTCTTCAGATATTTGTCGTATGAAATTACAAGAAATGAGAATGCAACAAACGTTACTGATGAAGAAGAAATAACTGAAAATCTCTGATTGGTTAGAGAGATCTCTATCCTGCTCAAAACCTGTTAGAAGCAGATATCTCTGCACTGCTGCCAGTGCTGTTCAATGAGTCTGGGTCATGGCAGGCTTCGACAGCACCTCTCTATGTTATGAACAGTTTTGATGCATATTTGTACAACAAAAATATTAGAAAAAAAGTTACATACTGTAGTTTAAAATTTCAAGTAAGAAAATGTTTTTTTCTATCAGGGAGTGTTACCTGAGTTGACTGGTCTATCATGAGGCAGGACGTGGAGGAAGCATGTCTTGTCTTTTACATTTCTCAGGTCCCAAAGCTTCACTGTGTGGTCAACTGAGGCTGTCGCCAACAACCAGTCACAACGGGAGTTGAACTCTGCATGGGTCACTTTAGCTTTGTGCAACTTGTTACTGAAAATCTACGACATTAAGCCAGAAAAAAAGTTCTTATAACACCCATAATTTTTCTTAAATTTGTTGTGGTTTATATGAGAAAACACGAATACACAATAGAAGGACTCTGTTATCTCTTTAAATACAGGCACATGATTCATCTCACTGAACTTAAATTATCTACTTCACTATGGAATAAACGCACACCTTTTGTCCATCCAAACCCAGGAGCAAGAGTTGTCCCGCATTGTCTCCTGTCACAAGCATCTGTCGGCTTACAGACACGTCGAGACAGCAGTACCAGTAACTGTGTAAGACAATAAAGGGAAAATGAATGAAGCTGAGGTTTGAGCTGTATAGAAAACTAATGACACATTAGAGGAAATTTTACTAATCAAAATTACACAAATCTAGATTTTTTAAAAGAAATTCTAAAATATCCTACAATGTGTGTCTTAATTGTTACTATCCAGATAAAACCACGCATTACTATCGAGAGTGATTTTTAAGTTTAGGCTAAACTGAGGGATGTCTTTCTAAAGGTTAAAAAAAAATCCCTTAAATAATTCAATGGGTTTTGCATGAGAAATGTGTTGTTTACAAAAGCTGACATTTTAGAGAAATGGTTTTATTGGACAGGAATGGCATCAAATTATAAAAAAAAAAGAGATCACAGCATCACTTTGCTGAGCATCAGCCTTCTTTGCGGTTTTCTCACCAAACATCGTGGTGATCGTGGCTACAGTCTTGAGTTCTGGACAGTATGGTGGGTGTGTGGCCCTCAAAGCTCTGCATGGTCAGTGTGCCCTCACCAGAGGCCACATAGACTTTGGAAAAGTCCGTGGGGCAAAACTTCATCCCGCCAATAGAGTCTCCTGCTCCATTCTGTACACACAGACACAAATGCAGGCCTTTCATAGGGCTGTAATAAGCACTACTCTGAAACCAATAAAGGCCATCTGATTAGAAAAATTATGCTAGACTGATCAGGCCTAAAACCTAAGAGGTCACTTAGTCTTACATCATTGTGTCTGTGCTGGGAAACACTTGTAGGGATGTCCCACTGAAATCTTGAAGTTCTGTCCTCAAAATGTTGCATAATTTACATGTAATATATATATATATAAAAAAAAAATTCTGAAGACCTCAAGTATCAGGTGCCACCATACTAACTCACCCCCTGAATAAATGTTTTCTTTGTGGGCACCTCAAAGTCCCACAGATAAATGTCTCCACCCTTGGACGCTACAGCCAGAGTGGTGGGGTGAATGGGATGCCACTCCAGACTGGTGATTCTGCGGTCGAAGGGGCTGGTAGAGCCATGGAAATGATAGGACGACAGGGAGCGAACAAAAGGGTCCTGGAGACACTGATAGAGACAACAGAGTACACAACTTCTCACTGACTGTTAAAGATAATCTCCAGTTCCATCTATAAGCCATTAACTCTACATTTACAAAGATAATAATGTTACGGTTTGACAGACACTGTCACAGATGTGTTCATTTATATATATTTTACGGCCTTACCTGTCTTATCTGTGAGTGAAGACTTTGTCCCAGAGTGCTCTTGTAAATGTAGTGCAGGATGCTCCTTTGCCCACTTTTCTTCTGGACCCCTGCAGACCTGACAGGAGGTCCTGCAAGACACACAAACCAGTCAATCAGCTGTTAACAAGATAATATGTAGCGCCATTGAAGCTGTCGTATCAGGGCTGCACCTGAATTTGATGTTTCTCCGTCTTTCTCGTCTTGCAGTTTTTTGGAGAGAGCTAGACGAGAGTTCCCGGCGGGTCTTTTCTTCAGTTTACCCTTTGATTCAGAAACATTAGACATCGTAGGGCTGCTTTTCATTTCTCCTCCTAGAACGACGCGGATTCTTATTGTATAATACAACACGAAGCATTTAACTCGACACGGTCATGTTTCTGCATCATCAAGTTTAATACCTGCTTCTTACCTGTGATGTTCAGTGTTTACCGCTGTAGTTTAAAAGCAGGAAATCCAGGTTTACATAACCCAAGTGCACGCGGCTGTTTTGTAACGTGTCTCTTACAGTTGGTGGGCGGTAGGTGTCAGTGTTTACCGACAATCCTCAGTGGACAACATGTTTGGTGGTGGGCCCGTTTCAAGAAGGAGGTTTAATTCTTCAATAATTGAATGAGTAACTTCAGTAATTGCATAAAATACCGATTTTTGTACGAATTAAAAAAGTGCAGTTTTATGTCCACCCTTTCTTAAAATACCTATTGTGGTTGATATGGGATTTGTAAAGTAATGATTAATAAATAATCCAATACGTTTTATGGAGAGTAATTATTACATTAATCAAAATACTTTTTTAAAATTGACCCAACACTGATGTAATAATATAAGAATTGAATTTTAATTTTCATGTAGGTGCATTGATGGGAATATGTGTGCCATCAATGCATCCAACCGCATTAGGAAATCCTGAAGGGGATTCTAATTATTAGTTTATTTCCAGAGGTCACAGCAAGATGTTATTAACTGATCATCATTTGTCAGATTAGCCTTACTGAAACGAATTCAATACCACTAACCTGCAATCCTGTGAAACTCCTCTTTAATGGCTCTGAGGGGTTTGTGCCCAGGAAACACAACAAAAAATAACAGAAAGCGCTTGAGGGTGAGGCACACTTTCCAAACTATTCTACATACTGTGGCCTTACTAATGTGCTCTGCATCCCCGATGTTATTCCCTGCGAATTAATACAGCCTCCTCATCTAAAGGATCCTCTATGAATGGACACGCCATTTTGGTCTCTGCGTGACGGAAACATGTGCAATCTATGAATGTACTGAAAGATTAAATGAGGTAGGCCTATTTAAACACCTTTAACTTTAAAAAGTGGCGGAGACCGGAGGAAACTCTGGGTTTCCCGAACAAAACCTGCTCCCAACCAGGTTAGGCTCACAGAGTAAGTTGCCATAGTAACTGACTCTGAGTTTAGATTACCTCTCTTTTTGAAACGGGTTTAATTTACCCCGCTTTCACGGGTTTAAGTTACCTCCGTTTCTGAAACCGAAAACTCCGAGTTTTCCTCATTTCGGGGTTAACAAACTCCGAGTTTCAACAAAACCTCCTTCTTGAAACGGGCCCCAGCTCAGACTACAAAATGACGCTCAGTTCAGGGGCTCTATTGTTATTACTACTGCTATTATTATTATTATTAATAAACACAACACGAGTTAACAATTTACAACAAATTAGCACACAAAACAACAGGATGAAAGCTGTCCAATATAGACAGGAAATAAAAAGATTATAAAAAATAAATATGAGGGGGTCTATTTCAGAATGGATTAAGGACCATCCAAAAGGGTCTGCTCTATTTATTTAGACGACCTATCAAAATTTTGTGCAAAAAGGAACAATTCTCCTTGTTCTTATGTATTTATTTCCCCCTGGTTTCTTGAACTATTGTAATCCGTATTGGTGTCGACATATTTCGCATGTTTGATCCACTGCCCGAAGCAGCGTTGTTGTATATATTTAGTAGTACTTTGTGTTCTTTGTTAAATAAAGTTTTTAAAAAACAAAACTTGGAAGTGAAGGCGGAAACACGTGTTTGTTGGCCTGAAATCCTATTGGCTGGTGCTGGCTCGTTTTGAAAAGTCGTTTGACTTGAGGCGGAGGGAAAGTTCAGAGTTGTAGCAAGTAATTCAAACGGTAAAAACAAAAGACGCAGCACTCAATAATGATCAGACAAGCGTAAGTAGAATTTAATATGTGATAATTGTGTTATTAAAGCTATTCTGAATGGAAGTGACTACTTTATGGTTTCGAGTTTTTGTTACAATTTGCTGGCCTGCGAAGGCATTCCAAACGGGGGTCGATTAATGCTAATTAGCTTTAGCCGTAACGTTCACTGCTATCGTCAGATTTCAAAACGCAGGAATATATACTGGGCATAGTGAAGTCTTTTTCCTCGTAGGTATGTTTCCCCTCATCTTAATCCGAGTTTAAGCTTCACTCCAGCTAGTCGTATCTTATGATGCTTAACTTGATCCTTACCTAACCAGTTACCCCTGCCTACCTCCTGAGACTTGGGGTCTAACTCTTAGCATTATCCGGATACTAACAAGCAGTTTAGACCAGGGTTTTTTTTCACTTACTGTATGCTAACAGAATATCCACAGGTATTTAAAAGTCTTAAATTGAAGAGAGAAACATCTTAACTATGTGCCTGATGTCAACCTAACTTTGTTATAAAATGCTTTGTTTGCAGGCTTTCGGGTGACGTTAAATATCTGTTAGCTAACGTTAAATCGTTTAACGTTAACGTTAGTCTATAAAATGTCAAAACAGGTAGTGAAATCTTAAACTGCAGATTGCTGGCTTTATCCTCTCACCACTCCAAGACTTGGAGATATGTATGTCATGTAACGTTACTATCAGTATGAAAGGCGCAGCATATTCTCGTAATTGAGAAGATTGAACCAGCAAATGTTTGACATTTTGTTGTGCTATATTACTGAACAATCGATATTCAAATTAATTTCTGATTAATTTCTTTTGATTGACAAATGTATACATGTATAAAAAGAAGCTATCACTTTTAGTCAGTTAATTCATGCATCCATTTTCTTCTACTTATTTGGGCCAGGCCACATTCATTAAATTAGTTAATGTAATTAGGAAGCACTCAAAACTAGTAAATAACTTTAGGCTCCTTATTTTTCCCCCTTGCACTTTCGTAATTGAAAATGACTGGGAAAATGGTAATGAGACGGGTAGTAAATAGGATTCTATGTCTTATTAAAAATGTCTAATTTAGCTTGGTGATATCTGCAGAAACCCAGTGAAGTGTATGAATTACATGTGTTTTTTTTATTTTATCTGTTTATTGACTTTTTCAGGAAGGGTAAAACCCCCCGCAGGCCTCTCCCCAAAAAGCCTAGCAGTAACCAGAAAGACCCAGTTGGGGTGAGTGTCTCTTATATAATGCTGAAACCTTTTTAACAACACAAACTGAACTGAGTGATCATTAATTTTGGAATGCATCAATGCGATATGAAACTGTTCAGGTGACTTTCAGCTTGTTCTTAGACAGCAGTCCCCTTGGAGCACATTTGACCTATACGTTTTTACTCAGGTGTACTGCCGTGTACGACCTCTGGGTGAGGAGGATGAGGGATGCTGCATTGAGGTGATCAGCAGCAGCACCATCCAGCTGCACGCCCCTGAAGGGTTCAAAATAAACCGTAATGGAGAGTACAAAGAGGTAAACAGTGTTAAAATAAAATTTGTTTTTTTTTCTACTCCTTATGTTGTAGTATTCGAAATAGCAGGGGCGTTTATTATTTACATTATTTGTCCTGATTGTCACCAAATCCAATGAAAAGACCAAAACCAACAAATCAATTAAATAATCCAATTTATAAGTATTGTCTGTGTAGCCAAGTCCTAACCTCATTCCTCTGTGCCACAGAGCTCCATTATTGATCAAAAACTGTTAAAAACACAACAGTGTCACTCAGTTTCACTGGATGACATATTCCTTCATTACAAAGCATTGTAGGTTGTTGCCATAAAGAAACAAATGTGTATGAATCTGAAGCTGAAACTGGTTCACAAAAATGTACTATTTACTGTGCTGAGCTGTCCTGGGAAGTTAATTAGCTTTTTGGTGAACTCCACTGATCTGTTTTTCATCACTTATCAGGGCCCAGGTCACAGTAGGCACAGGCCAAGCAATGTATTTTTCTCTCTGGCTATATCTCAGGGTGTTCTGGCCAGATGGGTTATATAATCCATCCATTGTGGAGTTAAGTGAAAGGAGTTCAGAGTAGAGTTGCTCCTCCCCTGGAGGACTGGAGTTGGTGGTAAAATTTTGATAACCTCTGTAGCTGTACAGTCCTCACTGTTGATGCCTCTCTGTCCAGGATCTCACCCAAACTGTTTTTGTTGTTGTTATTTTAAGCACAGATTGAAGTGTAAAATACATATAAATCATGCAAGCCCATTGTAACCATATTTGTTTTGGTACCAGGACACATGAGAATTGGCGTGATCTCTTGGGATTTACAGGCTCGTATGCTGCTAGAACATCCGGTCATTAAGTGTGTTGTGCATAGAGTTTGATCAATTCTTAAGTGTGTACTCCTTCCTGACTATCTAGGACTAAACTGTGTGCAAGGTGGTAGAAACAGTCTTTAAGTGTGGCCTGTCCAGTCTTAGAAGCTTTTAGCCAAATGTCAAGTATGTGTCCAGCTTAACTGAAATGAATTTTGTAAATGTCTCAGCTATTTGTCTGGGTATTTAGTTTTGTTTTGTGTGTTTGTGAGATATGCTGTGTGACTGATAATGTTGCTTGATTTTATTGTTGTTTTGTCCGTATTCCCCTGGCTTGATTCCACTGATAGATCGATTGATTGCAACCTTCTTTTTTTGCTTCTCAGACCCAATATTCTTTCAAAAAAGTCTTTGGGGTTTCAGTATCGCAGATGGAACTGTTTGAGCATGTGGCCAAACCTCTTGTTGATGACCTCATCCGTGGAAAAAATGGTAAGGTCATAGGCCATTCCTAGAAACTAATTGGATTTACATTAATAAACAGTAACAGTTAAACTACAGACAGTTGCCTGGTTTTAGCTAATATCAGTGGTTCTATTATATTTTCTCCTGCCATCTCTGAAATAGTATTTACTGCATGGCAAACATGTAAAGAACCATTAAGCTTTTAGGTTATTATTGGCAGCTGATTGTCTGTCTGATTGCTGCAGGCCTACTCTTTACATACGGAGTGACGGGAAGTGGGAAAACATTCACCATGACTGGCTCTCCAGGCCAGGGTGGACTCCTGCCTCGCTCTCTTGATATGATTTTCAACAGTATAGGCTCCTACCAGGCCAAAAGATATGTAAGAGAGTTGTACTTAACAACAGTGTTGATCATCATTTGACAATATTTAATAGTTTGTTATAAAATTTGTACATTTAAGTAACTTCCTTCATCCTGTTCAGGTTTTTAAAACTGATGATAAAAATGGAATGGAGGTCCAGACCGAAGTTGAAGCTGTGCTGGAGCGCCAAAGGCGGGATAACAACCTGTCTGTGCTTAAAACAACCTCCTCCAGGTAAATCTGAGTCCTGGGACATGCCAGTTGGCTGCTTTGGTGTAGCTGATATAAATTTTAACATGTACGTTTCCTGTTTCATTTTAGACAAAAGCTTGATCCTGAAATTGCTGACATGATTAAGCCAGAGGAGGTTAATAAAACAGACTGTGTGGATGAGGACAGCAGTTACAGCGTCTTTGTCTCCTACATAGAAATCTACAACAACTACATCTATGATCTCCTGGAGGAAACTCAGGAAGATGCAATCAAACCAAAGTGAGTTCAGAAAATGTGAAGTAAAAGGAAATCAATTCAGATGTATGAATGTGCTATCAGTGTCATGTTTTGACTGTCTGAGCAGTGTGTCATTAAAGAGTGACGTGTAGAGGTTTTAGAGGTCATTATTTTATGTTAGAGCAGCTGGGAGACAAAATTCTTTTTTTTCTTTTTTTTTTTACTAGGTGGAATGGTGGAGGCACACCTGTGCGCCAGAACACTGAGTTCATGTATGTAGTAGTGGATGCTGATAGATCTGAGCAGTAGCCTGATTTAGCCGAACTATAGTCTAGACCGTAAACAAACCTGTCAACAATGGAGACATTTTCAAACTTATGCAGATGTTATGGAAGCTCTTATTCTATTAAATAATGTAATAAATGTCATCTGAAACCACTGTTATCACAACAGCTAGGAAGTCCAACACAGTGCAGACATGAGACCAGCTTTTCAGTACCAATACAGCAACAGTACTTGTATCTGTTTGATTTGATTTATGGACCTACAAAACACACCAAAAAGGCAGCTGAAATGACTAGTTGATGAAGCAGTCAGGGTACAATTGGTACCCTGTCCTACCCAGTGACGGTCAGAGCCAGTCACTGTTGGCTTCACCAGGTCATGTCTCCACTGCTGAGTGTTTCTGCAGAACTAAAAATCATTACATCACTTCCTGTTGCTTGTAGTCTTTGTTATGGCAAAGTGGCTGAATGTCTTTAAACCCGCTGTCTCTTGCTTTGGATGACTTTCCATGGCTGTAATCAAGCTACATTAATAATCCTGCTATCAAGGGTTTCATACCCAATGGCTGTTGCATGAGAAGTTTAATTCCATGTCTAACGTTTATGTTCTTAATGTAGACCACCTCAGTCTAAAATCCTCAGAGAGGATCAGAATCACAACATGTATGTGGCTGGGTGTATGGAAGTTGAAGTCAAATCTGCTGAGGAGGCATTTCAAGTATTTTGGAGAGGTGAGTTGTCAGAGCTGCATTTAGAAATAAAAGTGAAATGTTTAGGAAGAAAAGCAGGAGGGGAAAACACTGCAGTGATTGTAGATGTGACTGACCTGGTATTGCTGGGCTAAAGGTCTGCTCTGACTGGGAAATGACCTCAGTTAATCTTCTCTCTGAGCAGCTCTTTGCCTAAAACAGTTTAGAGTAGTTGAAATTGTATGTGCAGATGCTATGTGTAAATTGATTATCTGTATTGCAGGTCTTTAAGTCTTAAAAGCATTTATTTAAGTTTCTCTTTCAAAATGGCCTATGTTAAAATGTCTTAAATTTCATTTTCAAGTGTTTAAAATACTGGGCAGTAATGTGAATTAGTAGGGATGGGACAGTATATCATGTGGTCTCCATACACTAGCAACGTCATATTTTTATGTAAATAAGAATGCAGGTCAATATATCTTGTTGTTCTTTACATAATCAAACCAGTGCTTTTGGAGGGGGAGGAGGATAAAGTACAAGTATTTGGATTGAAGCGAATCGTACACCATATTGTGCATCGAATTGTATTGAGGGAAAAAAAAAATCACATCATCTGTCCCATCCCTAATAATAATAATAAAAAGAAGGTTTTGTTTGTGGTTTTAGTGAAATCTGGTAGGAAAATCTGGCTTTACAAAGTTTTAAATGTAAGTTGTTGAACCCTGTAGAAACCCTAAATAGTTGCCTGTACTGTGTTGTCCCAGGTCAGAAGAAGAGGAAGGTTGCAAACACCCGACTGAACACAGAGTCCAGCCGCTCCCATAGTGTGTTTATTGTTAAACTGGCTCAGGCTCCTCTTGATGCAGATGGTGACAACGTACTCCAGGTCAGCCGAAATTAACGAGTTCAAATTGAATGAATTATACTGTAAGCACCGGTTTTGATATTGAGTTTATTTTTGTTTATTCTTTTTTTTTTTTCCAGGATAAGAACCAGGTGACAGTCAGTCAGCTGTGCCTGGTGGACTTGGCAGGAAGTGAGCGCACTGGGAGGACGGGGGCAGAAGGCACTCGTATACGTGAAGCCGGTGTGTTACTCGAACATGAAGGCTTGGTTTTACCCTAAGGTTCATGTGAGAATTAACAACATCGTCCTTTGCAGGTAATATTAATCAATCTTTGCTGAATCTGCGGACATGCATTGAGATACTTCGAGAGAACCAGATGTGTGGCACAAACAAGGTATGGATTTTCGCAATAAAGAACACTGTCATTATGTTCACTGGTGAATCCTATAGGTAATGTAAGTTTCCTCTTTAGATGGTTCCCTACAGGGACTCTAAAGTGACCCATCTATTTAAAAACTACTTTGATGGAGAGGGAAGAGTCAGAATGGTTGTTTGTGTTAATCCCAAGGCGGGCGACTACGAAGAAACCTTGGTAGGTTCATCACACATTTTTACGGTCTTTTACTGTATAAGTGAACTTGGCCTTCATCTGATACAAACAAGGTGTTTTGCTTGTGTAGCTGGTGATGCGGTTTGCTGAGATGACCCAGGAGGTAGAGGTAGCTCGGCCAGCGGACAGGCCCATCTGTGGCTTCACTCCAGGCCGTCGCTATAGAAACCCGGCATTTAGAGAGGAACTGTCTCGTAAGCTGGAGGAGCGTGGTGGTCCAATAGATAGAGGTAATAGTCAGACCCTGTATAAGGAAAATACATTCAATCAAACCACTGGTATTTGTAATTGTACCAACGTGCGTGAAGTTGGCCCCCCCACCCTACGCAAAATTAAGGCCAAAATGGTGTTATTCGTTTGTGCTTCGTTTGTGCTTCGTTTGTGCTGCAAAAAGTTTCGTTTGTGCTGTTACGGTTTTTGAGATATTAAACAATACTTTTGGGGTCATCCACAGGTCACTCAGCCCCCCAGATAGCTCCAAATTGGACAAAAGTGGTGTCGTCCGTTTGTGCTTCGTTTGTGCTGGTTTGTGCTGCAAAAAGTTTCGTTTGTGCTGTTACGGTATTTGCGATATTACAGCTTTCTATATTTCTGATGACGTCACTCAGCCCCCCAGATAGCTCCAAATTGGACAAAAGTGGTGTCGTTTGTTTGTGCTTCGTTTGTGCTGGTTTGTGCTGCAAAAAGTTT